GGCTGCAAATCCTATGTTAACGTTTTGAATCGTTCTCCGAGCTGAGTAATTTAGTGCCAAACGTTTCACCACTTCCCTCAGTGGCATCTTCAGTGTACAGCTCCGCAGGGGAAATCTCACGGAAAATGTCGTTGGGACGTAGCGTTTGAAAATAGCCTCGTCGATCTGTGTCCCGTGACCTCTGTTTGTTCGATACTTAGCCGTCCAGCGTGAAGCTGATTTCCAGGCAAAAATGGAGGTGGGTTAATGTGCATTTGTTTTTCTTTTGTTTGTTTGGGTCGTTTGGATTACGTCATATGGTGTAGTGTGGCCAGTGCACTGTCGACACTTGCTTTGAACGCGGCCAACTTAGGGGGACTGAAATAACAGCTTCTGAGAGGGTAGTCCGTGTGTGGCAAACACAAAGGGAAAACTTCCTTCGGCACTCCAGTTGGCTGTATTGTTCTACCAACTTGAGATGTTGACCTCTTAGTCTGATGTTTTGACTCAGCTTCAACAGTTGATGGCACGGGTGATTAGGGTTATTTAGAATTTGGCAAGCCATGATTAGGTCACCGCGCAAACACCGACAGCGTCCGCTGAACATACTTAACACCCTGAGATGCTGTTTCTATGACAAGTGGCTCAGCCCCATGACATTTTTGGTCGCCGGACGTTGCGGAATCTCTAAGGCAGCAAGCTCTCGCTTAAATATTGGGGGCCATGCTTGGATTGCATATTCTGAGGGCGCATCTAAGCTGGAATTAGGTGACGGAAAATGGACTTTTCCAAATGTCCGAAAAGTCTCCGTAAAAGCCCCACGATTTGAACTCCTTGGATGCTTTTTTTGACTGCTCCAAGCAGCCGAGATCCTTTTGGACATGCACACCGAGACCCTTTTCGTGAGAACGGTGTTGCAGATCCTGGTCCCCCAACTTATAAGTATGGGCCAGTCGATGTCGTAAATAGAGCACTCGACATTCCGCCACATTGCAGAAAAGGCGATTTTTGATCGACCATTCATAGATCATG